CCCAATAAAATTATTTTTTTTAAAGAAAAAAAAAAAAAAAAGGAACTCCGACTTAACCTTTCACATTGTAACATGGAATAAATCACTCTATCCGTTTCTTGTTTCAATTGTTTTGAATAGAATTCTGGTTTAAGTACTCTTCCTCTTCCTCTGCAAAGAAAGCAGCCTAAACTGTGTTCAATGCTCTTATTGTCTTTCAGCTAGATTTTTGAAAATCAGTATTTTTTTGTGACATATCTGCAATCCCAATATGTATATAAATATCTATAGATCATACTTCCTTCCACTGGAACCAATTCAGAGAGTTTGCAGCTTGTAGCACTCTCTACATTCAAAGTTGTTCACAGCGAGGGAGAGTCAGTGTGAGTCCAGACATAAAACCAGTCTCAGGGAAAAAGCTAACCTCCAGGGATGCTAAGGACCCACCAACTCTGGACCAAGAGAAGAAAGAAGTTAGGACAGGAGCCTGGATGAGGACTGCAGTTCCTGGTCAGCTAGATCTGCTGCACTGACCACTGTGGTAGCTCTACTGCCCATAGCAGGAAACCGGTTGAGACAACTGCAGGTAGCACTCCTGACCAATTGTCCGAATACTTGTGACCAGAGAAAATGTTGCTGTGCGACCCACAGAATTTGGAAGGCAGTGTAAGCCCCAGAAACCCCTCTCCTGTATGTGATGGGATGCTGTCAACAGGGGCTCTCAGAATACACTGAGGCCATCACCTACACCAGGTACTAATTCACGAGAGGAAACATGAGCTTCTTCTTATTTTTGAGGTCACTTTCAGCTTCACGAATATTCCTGTTGTTAGGAAATTTTTCATCACAACACTAAATCTAGAAGATCACGTTGAAGCATTTTCACTCATTCTGACATATTCTGAAATATCCTAGGGGAAAGAAGGATTTGGGATGACACACAGTTGTTTCCCAATGTGTTCAGATGGATGGAAAGATTCAGGTTGTCTTGGTCTTGATTCCACAACGTGGTGAGGATAGAAATTGTCTTTAATGCCACTAGATTATCTGCGTTCTTCTGATGGTGATGGATATAAAGCTACACAAAACATAAAATATGAACAGATGTTTGTATGAGGTAGAATGAAGCCCTTGGAGAGAGGACTGTGTTCTCCCAAGGACACCACCAGCATCGCTTTTCTAGTCTGAGTCCCAGAGGCAGGGCTCACCCTTTTCACTTTTACATACAAATCCATCTCCCACATGCAAATATCTAATATGCAGTCACATGAAACCACAGCACACATGGACTTAAACTCTTATTCCTTCTCACCCTGGAGAGCATTTTCTGGGTGTCACGAATCTTATCCACATGATCATGAAGCATGTGTGGGTTTTCCTCTTTCTGGTGGTAACTCCGGGAGGTGAGAGCTTCAGGGATTCACACATGAAGTCTGGGGATGCAGCATCTGAGCACATGACTCACTGTGTTTCTCTTTATCCGCAGGTGTCCTGGCCCAGGTGCAGCTACAAGAGTCAGGCCCTGGACTGGAGAAGCCCTCACAGACCCTGTCTCTCACCTGTGCCATCTTTGGATTCTCTTTAACCAGCTACAATGTCAACTGGATCTGCCAGGCTCCAGGAAAGGGACTAGAGTGGATTGGGATAATAATTTATGATGGGAAAACATACTATAACTCATCTCTCCAGTCACGAGTCAGCATCACCAAGGACACCTCCAAGAGCCAAGTTTCTTTAAAACTGAACTCTGTGAATCCTGAGGACACAGCTGTGTATTACTGTGCTAGAGACACAGTGATGGGAAGTCAGTGTGAGTCCAGACACAAACCTCCCTACAACAGGCCATGGTTTGGGCAGATTCAAGAGAGAGAAGTCAGGGATGCTTTCCTCTCAGAAGCTGCGGGTTCCTCACCTTGTCAGCACCTCTCTAGGGAGCACCATGCATAGACTCAAGAGAAGCTTCATGCATCTGAACATGCCTTCTTTTCATTGGAATGGGCTTTGTCTATCTTTCACCATCTTTACAAAGTCAGACGGCATAGTAATATGCCTTTATGAGACCTCAGCTTACAATTCGGGGTACTAACTAATGTCGTTTGTTGTCAAAGTTATAAATATTCCAAAAAGCAAACTCACTGCCATTGTGTTGATGCCAATTTATAGTGACGCCCCTGTGGGTTTTGGAGATTGTAATTATTTATGGGCGTAGAAAGCTCCGTCTTTCTTCCTTGAAGTGGCTTGTGTTTTAAAAATGGTGACATGAAGATCTCAACCCAAAGAATACATCACCGGGCTCATTGTAAAAATATTAATGGTGGGAAAAAATTCTCGTGTGAGCCCCACATTTTCTCCAAGCCATCAGATGAGTGTCCAATGCTTTCATTCCAGTGAATGTTCACAACTCAGGTTTGTTTAATAATCTTAACTTAGAATGACCTGGATAATATTGTATATGCTGATATTGTAGGATCAACACAGAGATCGTGTGTACAACAGGATGAAATACTGCCTGAAGTGCACTATCCTCACAATCATTCCTCTGTTTGAACTCATCGTTGCAGCCTTTGTGACAATCCACCTCCTTGAAAGTCTCCTTCTTTTTCATTGACATTCTATTTTACCAAACACAAGACCATTCTCCGGTTCTTGTTTCTCCTAAGAATATGCCCAAATACATGGGAGCCATCCACGATGTGCTTATTTCAAGACAGAACTGCTAGTTCTTCAGACAGTCCATGATAATCATACATTTACCATTCTCTAACACTATAACCCACATGCATCAATTTGCTTTGATGTTTCTTACATGGTTTTGTCCATTATTGGAGTCACTCTTAGTTTTCTTAACTATGGCAGGTTTTTCTGGCACTACAGAGATACTGCTCAGGGCTGCCACTAAAATCACACAATGTATTGGAAGGCACCATACAATAAATTCTCAAGAAAATAATAACAATACTGCTGACATCGAAGAACTCTATATAATGTCTTAACACTAGCCAACATGAAGATAAATGCCCACCTGCAAAAAGGAAAGGGTGATGCATGTAAATTATACTTAGGTGAGCCTAGACTATAAAAGTATGTGACACAACGATTAAATTCTCAACTTCTAGCCAAAAGGTTGGCAGTTCAAAACCACCCAGTGACTCCATTTGTTAAAGACCTGATTACTTTCTCCCGTCAGTATGACAGAAAAGAAAATCCTATTCAGACAGTTTGTCTCTTTCACACAGGGTCCCTGTGAGTCTTTAACAACCATCCTGGCAACAAACAACATTGGGTGCTTAAAGTTCCATAAATATGTAGAGAACACATTTTCTACCAATTAGCCTAGACACAGTGAACTTCAAGAAAGGAACAATTATAAAGACAGTATTTATAACACATATTTCCTTTTTCTAGGGGTGTTTTCTCACATAAAACATACACCCTTTCTCCCAGCACTGTTATTCAACCTGGGAAGAATGTTATATTTTTATTTTTGATGATGTTAAGTGCCACAGAGAGTTCCAATTCTCAGTGATTACAGTACAACAGAACTAAATAATGCCTTCTTCAGCACCATAATCACAATGAATATTTTTGAGCCCATTGTTACAGCCACTGTGTCAATCCATCACATGATGTGCCTTCTTCTTCCCTGATCCCCTGCTTAATCATGGATTATGTCTTTCTGAAGGGATTTGTGTCATGATAACATGTCCAAAGCACATGAAACAAAGTCTCACCATCCTTCATTCTAAGGCACTCCCTGGCTGTATTTCCCTCACAACAGATCTGCTTGTTATAATGACAGCTCATTCCACGGTACTTTCAACATTCTTTTCCAAAAGGTAAGTGAAAGGCCATACATTTTGGATATGACCCCCCTTATTCATAGTCCAGAGCTCATATTCATATATTAATATGGAAAAGATCATCCCTTAGCATCTCAAAGTGACACTTAAAGATTACTTTACTATGGGCTTCTCGGTGCAGAAATAGAGACATGGTGCTGCTGTCGGATAAGTATTGGGTTGCTCACCACAGGGACAGCAATTCAAACCAACCATTTCTTCTGAGTAAGAGGAGGTTGTCTTTTCCTGTAAATATTTACAGTCAGAGAAGTTCTAAGGAACAGTTCCAATCCATCTTATAGGATTCCTGTGAATTTGAATAACTTCACTGGCAGTGGGTTTGGGTTTTGAGGAAGAGATTGTTCATTTTTTAGTCACTTGCTTGCTTTACTGATTTCCCCTCAGGGCAGAAGGATATCTTGTGTATTAATAGCTCTCAGACCTCACAATGACTAAATGAATTATCTGGGCAGGGTACAAATTTAATGTATGCCTATGGGCCACCTCACTCCCATCTCTGTCACCTGACTATGCACCCGTGCTACTTGGGATTGGGTCAGGCACTGTCCTGAGAGAGGTCTTGAGTGGATGGGAAGGACCTTCTACAGGTCAGAGTGGCTTAGAAGATACAGACCATCTAATCATCAACCCAGACCCATCCAAGAGCCATCTCTCCGTGCAGCTGAGCTCTGTGACCACTGAGGATCACTGTGCAATGAGACATGAAGAGAAGTCCATGTGAGGCCCCACATACACCACTCTGCAGGACAGCTGGAGGCTGAACTGGGAGAGCTTCACACCAGCAGTGGGAGCTCAGACACAAATGAACAGGCCCAGGAACCAGAAGCAGGTGCATGTGTGAGCACAGATGAGAGCTTCCTCTGTGACTGGAGTTGGTTTTGTTCCCACTGCTTAGCAGCAGATTGAGAGGAAACTACAGTAGGAACCCTATTTTGTCTTAATTTAGAATAGAAAAAAAATATTGTGAAGGCAAATATGAAGAAAAAGAGTAATATGCTCCATTAAAATAAGTGATAAAATTTGGTAAGACTATATTCTGTGTGCAAAAGTTGGGGTGTGGGGTGTGGGGTAGGAACATCCGCGATGGGGTTCACAATGACTCTTCTTCATCTTCATCTTCCACAGTCATATAGAGCTGTGTCCTCAAGTTTCATTCCACTAATTCGCAAAAGGACAGTAGTTTTGAAATTATCCTTGAGATAGTTATTCTGCCTTGGATTAGTGAACCATATTTTGTTGTGTGACCATTGGTTTTATATATAGATCAACCCATTCTAGTATCTTCTGTAGAAACATGTAATTCACATCCTGAAGAACTGAAACACAAGTGAGTGTTTGTTCTGGTGGACATTTCTAGAGGAGAGTGTCTTAGGGACTCAGAGACAAAATCTAGAGATGTTCCCCTTGAACATATGGCTCACTGTAATTGTTCTTTTTCCCGGAGGTCTGGCTCAGGTGCAGTTATAGGAATTGCACCACCACCACTCCCCACCTAAGCACCAATCTCACTGCTGTTGAGTCAGCTTAGACTCAAAGGACCATAGAGGACAAAACATAACTTCTCCTTTAGGTTTCTGAGACTAAAATTTTTCATGATCAGAAAATTTGATCTTTCTCTTGAGTAGTAGATGGTAGTCTAGAACTGCAAAACTTAAATTTAATAATTTATTGTGCAATCCACTACCCCCCAGCATCTCATAGGTATGGAGGGGTGGATTTGACCTTGATTAGCCTGGGTCTATTCCATTTCTTTTAAAACTTGATGAGTAATTTCTTTTAAACTTGGTTAGTAACTTCCATGTCCTTAAAGAAAGACCATGGGATCTAGAACAGAATTGCATTTTAATTATAGAGCTCGTAGGGTGTGCTATTTTTAGAGTTGAGGCTTTCTATTCATGACATGGCCCATTTTTTAATCAATGTGTGTGTCTTGTTATCTTAGGATAGTGTTTGTTTATAGTTTTCATTGTACAAGACTTGTTTTTTCTGCTTAGGTTTATTCCAATTTATATTATCATATAAATGGCTATTGTAAATGGTATTATTTTCTTGATTTCCCTTTCAGAGCTTTCTATATTGGTATGTGGGAATCAAACTGTAGTTTTCATTTTCTATTTTAACCTTATAACTTGTGAAATTGCTTAACTTTTCAATTAGTTCCAATAATCTTCTTTAGCACTTTTGGGTTTTCTATGTTTAGAGTGATATTGTCAGTGATTATAGAGAGTTTTACATCTTGGTTGTCATTTTGGATGCCTTTATTTTACGTTTTTCTGATTGATCATTATAGTTAAAGGTTGCAGCATGATATAAAATAACTTTGGCATTAAATGATATCCTTATCTGGTTCTAAATTGAAAGGTGAATTTTGTCATTGACATTGCATTTGCTGTTTTAAGTCCTATTAAATAAGTTTGAACTCACAACAACACTAGAGAGAACAGGATGAAACCAGTCTTGCTTCATCCCCATAGTTGTCATGTGTGAGGGCTTTGTTGCAGTAACTATGCCAATCTATGTTGTTTAAGGTCGTCCTGTTTAATCAAGGATTATGCCCTTTCAAATTTCTGATTTCACTCACCCATGTCCAAAGTACTTGAGATGAAGTAATCACACCCTCACTTCTTTCTATTAAGCATTATAACAGTACAACATCAAATACACAATTGTTTATTTTCTGGCAGTCCATCATAATATCAAATTATTCACCAGTACCCTAATTAAAACACAACATTTTATCATTGATCTTTCTCATTTGTGGTCCAACATTCACGTGCATATGAGACATTTGAAAACCACACACCTTGAGCCAGGTACACCTTAGACCTGAAAGAGACCCCTTGCTCTTCAACCTTTTAAAGATGTCTTGTGCAGCAGATTTTCTCAATGAAATGCATCGTGTAATTGACTGCAGCTTCCGTGAAGATTGTTTGTAGTTGTGAACTCCTTCACAGCTACAGTCTTACCTGAATTTATCATGATATTTTCTAGTGGTCTCACAGTGAGGATTTTGATTTCCATTACATTGAATTGTAATCTAAAGTGAAGGCAGCAGTCCCTGGTCTCAATCAGTAAGTTTTTCAAGTCATACTATCTTACAACATGCAGTTTCATGTCATCCACATATCACAGACTAGTGACATGGTTTATTACAATCTTGATGTGTTTTTCATTTAGTATAGCTTCTCCAGTTATTTTCTCCGTATAGCATGATGCACAGAGAAACTACTGAAATTTTCAATTATTCTGATGCAAAATGAACATCCCTGGGAGTAACAAGCAAGAAATCACACCAGATTGCATTGAGCACAGGTGTTAAAAATGACTCCATGAAAGTGTTTAAATGCTTTGAATAAAATATGGCAATTCTAAAACCACCCAGTCCAAGAAATCTCAAAAACAAACAGAGTCAACAAACCAACAAACAAAAATTTTAAAGAAAATAATAAACCCCCTAAGTTTTTACTTTCTCAGTTACAAGAGAATCTTGAACCAGATTCTCAAGGGGAGCAAGATTGTTGAGGCATCCTCAGTAAGGTGGCAAATTCTAGGTGACTCACATGGCCATGCTACACACCTCTTTGTCTTCAGGACTGAAAGAGAGAGAGATGATCTCTCTCCTTCTTCCCCGTATCATGTGGATGACAGTTGAACCAGTTCCCTTACTTATCTCTAAGAGAGAAAGCACTCAGGGAGAGGGCAAACTTGACTGAAATTAGCATGAGAGAGACTGAGATTAGTTAACTCCCTCTAGCCCCACTATTGTTATTAGGTGCCTTCCAGTCGCAATCATAGAGACCTGGTGTACAACTGAAGAGATATTCTCTGGTCCTGGACCATCCTTCCTTTGCTCATATATTCCAGCCCATTGTTACAGCCAATCTATCAGTTCATCTAGTTGAGGACGTTCCTCTTTTTCACTGGTCCTCTACTTTTCCACTCATGATGGCCAGGCACTGGCTGCTCCTGACAACATGTCCAAATTATGTGAGGCAAAGTCTCTCCATCCTTGCCTCTAAGGAGCATTTGGCTGCACTTCTTGTAAGACAACCCTGAGGTCTATAAAGAAGTAGCCCATCAGTCAAAGAGGGAAGCTTTACATTGACCAAGGACTTTGCTCTGACATTCCTTTGGAGTGAAGGTTTATCTCGAGGCCCTCCACTGGGGTGAAGATGGTAAGCAGTCTGGCGTTCACAGATATTCCTATTTCTCTCGTTTCACAACCAATTGATTTGAAAGGCACTATTTTTGTCATAGGCTTACTTACACCCCCTGGCAAAAACAGAAGATATCCTGAGATTCTGACCTTGATGGGGAATAGAACGGTTTTTAATTTGTCATCAATCCCTTCTCTGAATAGTTTTGAACCTGCAATAGCTTTAACACTTGAACTATCAGTAACTGCAATTAGTGGAAAGGGAATACTATCAAGTACATTTCCAACTGACTAACTAAAAGAGATACAGATAAACAAGTTGGAGGAGAAAACAAGGGGACTGACAGTTTGGGGAGACACAAGAGAGGGGGAGGTGGGAGAACGGAAGGGGGTTGTCAACCAACCCTGGGACAAGGGAACAACAAATGATCTAAAATGGATGGAGAGAAGGGTGTAGAATGCCTTATGGGGCTTAATCAAGGGCAATGTAACCGAGAGGAAATGTTGAAAGCTGAATGAAGGCCAAACATGTTAGTGGAACACGAGGAAAGTAAAAGAAATAGAGGAAAGAACTAGGAGGCAAAGGACATGTATAGAGGTCTAAATACAGGCATGTACATATGAAAATATAATGATAGGGAAATAGATCTATGTACTTATATTTACATATTAAGTATTAAGGTAGCAGATGGACATTGGATCTCTACTCAAGTACTCCTTCAAGGCAAGAACACTTTGTTCTAATCATGCGGCATTCTGTGATGCTCACTTTCCTGACACAATTGCTGAAGAGAAAGTGGCCGCATAAGCAAATGTAGTGAAGAAAACTGACGATACCCAGTTATCAAAAAAGATAGCATCTGCGTTCTTAAAGGCTTGAAAGTAAACAAGTGCCCACCTGGCTCAGAAGCAATAAAGTCCACATGGAAGAAGCACACCAGCTTGTGTGATCACAGGGTATCGAAGACATCAGGTATTAGGCATCAAAGACCCAGAACAAAAAATATATATTAATGTAAATAAGGGGGCGTCAACAGAGTGAAGATCCAATGCCCATCTGTAAACAATTCCCTTTCAGAAGGGTCACAAGGAAGAGACAGACCAGTCTGGGTGCAGTATAGCACTGGTGAAATATACAACTTTCCTCTAGTTCTTTAATGCTTCCTCCCCTCCGCTATCATGACCCCAATTCTACCCTGCAAATCTGGCTAGACTAGAGCATGTACACGGTACAGATAAAAGCTGGAAACACAGGGAATACAGGACAGATATACCCCTCAGGACCAATAATGAGAATAGAGATACCAAAAGGGTAAGGGGGAACTGATTGCAATGATCTACATATAACCCTTTCCGAAGGGGATGGACAACAGAAAAGTGGGTGAAGGGAGACACCAGTTGGTCTAAAACATGGTTGGGGGAATTTATAAATTATCAAGGGCTCATGACGGAGGGAGGCCCGGAAGGGGAAAATGAGGAGCTGATATTAAGGGCTCAAGTAAAAAGAAAATGATTTGAAAATGGTGATGGCAACATATGTACAAATGTACTTGACACAATGGATGAAAGTATTGATTGTAAAAAGAGCTGTATGAGACCCCAACAAAATGATTTATAAATAAATAAATAACCAAACAAGCAAATAAAACAAAGAATCCAGGATGGGGGACTTCATCTGACGTACTTTACATATGTAAGCAGGAGGGTCAGCCCCTGAAGGACATTGTGCTGGATTCCTAGGACTGCTAAAACAAAGGTTGATATAAAAAGAAAAAAAGGCTGTCAACACAGCTTATTAACATGATATTTGTAAAAAAGAGGATCAAACAGAATAATGATTGAGGGTATACCATAGATCAAAACATGCTCTGTATTGTCATAAAGAGTTATATCCAACTGGACATAATCTAACAATAACAGCACCAGTGAGTATTTGAGTTAATATACTTTGGTATGTGTTTCTTGGTAACTTGAATGTCTCCTATAGTCAAGTACCTATTCATGTCCTTTGCCCATTTTGGGTCTCAAAATTCTGCACCACATGTTCCACAGTACCAACTGGTGCTGAGAGGTTGGATAAAGTGGAGGGAACTTGCCAGAGAATGTGCAGAGAAATGGAAAAGAGGGTGGAATAAATGTCCACTCTCAATTGGGGTTTTAATGAAATTAGGATTTATTTTTATTCTCTATGTTTTCTGTGTCCCAACAGATGCTCTGCTCTTCAGTTTAAAGTTCCTGATTTCGCAGTAAATGGAGGCCCATCCCAAGAAGAGGAGGAGGGCATGAGACTTTATCTTTTCCGTTTCTGAGGAAAAACTGGGGCTACTCTGCTTGTTTGTTTGTTTGTTTGTTTGTTTGTTTCTCCTGGGGTTTCTAACATAGAGATTACCCATTCAATTTCCATGTAAAATTTCAAATCTTAATGAAAAACATCACATTATGGGCAGAGTTCTTAGTAACTACACAATTGTTCATAAATTGTAATTGTCTTGTACATTCTTTGGCCTTGTGGGTACTTTCTCTGGTATTATCAAGAGATTATCAAGGGTTGACATAAAGAGGTTAACATTAGTTGTCATCATTGATTTTTCCCCTTGTCCTGGGTGTCCTGTGACAGGTACAGCATCAGGATTTTGGTCCGGGTGTGATGAATCCCTCACATCTTCTCCCTGAGATTTGCTGTCTCTGGAAACTACATATTTCTGGAGTTGGATCTACCAAAGCCTGCAGAGAAGATTGTAGTAGTCATTAATATGTTTTGGTTACAACAAAAAAAATTTACCCATCTCAATGGAGTTGACTCTCAAGCTCCATAAGAAAATCCACCAAGCATTTCTCCCTTCAGCTGAGCTCAAGGACAACTGAGAGCACAGCTGTCCATTGCTGTGTGAGAGGAACAGTGAGAGGACTCAGTGCCATCCCATGCACAACCTTCCCAGCAATAATGACATTGCTCTATAGGGATCACACAAAGCAAGCCTATTGGGCAGGGGCAATGGTGGAGGCATGGGAGCAAAGTACTTCCTGCATCTAGGGTTTCCTTTACCTCTAAAATATTTTCTCCAAGAAACCTCTCTTCATTAATGTTTTCTACAAAACCCCACACCAATGGCAATATTCATTCATTCATATACTGTATGCATAAGCACAAGTAAATCTGCATATGCATGCACACATGAACCCTTTTGGTGTAGTGGTTACTCATTAGACTGCGATCTGAAAGTTGAGGAGTTCAAAACCCCCAGCTGTTCCACAGGAGAAAAATGGGGCTTTCTGCTCCCATAAAGAGTTACAGTTTCAGAAATGCTCATGGGCAATTATATCCTGTCCTATGGGGTCGCTACGTTTCTGCATGGACTTGGTAGCAGTGAGTGTGAGTGATGCAGACATTGGTAGATACAAACACTATTTGTGTCATTGATAGCTATGGCATGTATTTAATGATTTTCATATCCTAGATATGGCTGTACTGGACGGAATGACAATGAAAGCACAACATAAAAACTAGTAGGACTCAACTGAAGAGAACTTAGTGGGGAATTCATAGCAACAAGCATCTGTATAATGTAGAAACAAAAACTCTGACATTAATTACCTCATTTTCCATTTAATGAAACTAGCAAAATATGAGCATTCCTTAGCATAGTTTAGTAGGGGAAAATAATAATAAAGCAACTCAAATTCAAAAGCAGAAACACAATAATTAAGCCAATTCTATGAAAACTGACTCTTTTAGAAGATGAAGTAAAGTGAGAAATATCCAGTTTCCCAATCATGACAAAGAAGGAGGACCAGAATCTCCCAGATCAGAAACCAGAGAGAGTACACCATCCTGCCTGTTTTCTGGATATGTTTTATGAACAACTGCATGTCCACAGTTTAAAAATATCACTTAAATATGGAAATTCCTTGGAAGGCAAGACAACCAATAATGTTCGCCCCCACCAAAAAAAACAGATAATAGAATCGTCACTATCATCATGTGTATCCACATCTTAAGGACTATAGAGAATACATATGAGCTCTCATGCCACAAAAGTTGGTGTGTGTGTAATACAAAGTTTGTAAATTGAAAACTACTTTAAAAATATATATTTGATAATATATAGTGATAAAAGCAATGCGTGCTAAAGAACCTGTTTAAATCATCTGTTTTCCTTTGAGAGTGCTTGTTTTTCTCTGAGTCTGAGGGAGAACTCTTGCCCATAATCTCTATTCATCTGCTTCTAAATATCGGGGACATTCAAATGCAGCTCTCTGACTGTTGATAAACTGGTCACAGCCCTGATGTGGGTGATCTCAAAGGACAATTCAGTCTCTGGGGTCTCTGCTGTTTCCATTTGTGCCCAGGAGCTGGTCCACAGGACACATAATGAATTTTGGACCAACCTTGGTTGTCATTTTGGCCATTTTACATGGTAATTGCTCTAGACCTTGCTGTATGTGTGTATTTTTAATTGTAAGTGCCTTTGTTTATATGTATGTGTCGTCTAATCAGGGTGCCTCTGTTTTTGCAGGTGTCCAGTTTGAGGTACAGGTGATGGAGTCTGGGGGTGATCTGAGAATGTCTGTGTGGTCTCTAGACTCTCCTGTGCAGCCTCTGGATTCACTTTCAATGTCTATGGCATGAGCTGGATCCACCAGGTGCCAGGGAAGGGCCTGCTGTGGGTCGCAGTCATTAGTAGTGCTGGTGGTACCACACGCTACACTGAATCCGTGAAGGGTCGACTCACCATCTCGAGACAACTCCAAGAACATACTCTACTGGACTTGTGCTGCCCGGACTCATTTACACATTGGGAATGAGTTTTGTATCCCCACTCCTCCCTTACCAACTCTCCTTAGCCGACAACAGTTC